TAATATTTATGTTAATTCGAATAAATACATTCTAAATACCAAAACTCTTGGTGTACTTTGCTCTTGAACTTTCTTGCACTCCCTTTGGGATTCTCAGCTGTACGAAGCCTAAATAATGCAAATAAAGTTCATGGAATCAAGTGTCTATTCACTCTGTTAGACAAAATAATGTGTTTACAGCCTTCTACGTAAAACAAATGCACTCAGGGGATCTGTTACTTTAAGAAGTCAATGCTCCTGTGGAACTGCAGTCAGTTTATATACAACATAGTCTATGCATAAAGCCTTGTAAATAAAATAATGAAAATCCTTCATCTAATTGAAAGATTTAAGTAATGACTGGACTGCGGTGTGAACTATGCTGTGGCAGCAAAATCTGCACCCAGTACTAAATACTAGATTAATGTACGCCATAACATTGTAATAAGATGCTTAGAATGTTAGAATGTTTTCACAATAGGTGGAAATATCCCTTCATTGTAAGGACTGCTAACCTCCCTGGAGTTGTCCTGTTTAGAGTCCCCGGTTTACAAGAACTAATACCTCCCGAAAATTCTTCCTGTTTAAGGACTCTACAAATACTAAACCACACTGCATATCGATTTGACCACTATGCAACATCAATTCAAAGGAAAAACAAAAATTGTGGGGAAAAACATGAAATATCTTACTACAAGCACACAGTAAATACATTATTAATATATACCTCTGATGTAGCCAGCTGTGACGGCGGGACAGGTCAGGTTTCAAGCCATTCCCACACTCTATTACTTTCTACAAAGGGATCCTGTCTCACAGAAGTGATTGCATTTTTGGAGGGCTTATTATATAAGTGCTAACATTAAAGTCATTTCAAAATTAGTTTTCAATATTCCTAAATTTGCAGCTTTCATTCAAATAATACCTGGTGATTCCGCCATTAAAGCAACACTACGAGCAAAATGATCATTTATACACCGTAGCGGGGATGCAAATTATCATTAAAAAGTTGTATGTTATGTGCAGAGGGCGGCTGCAAAGTATTAAAAAATCTAGCTTGCAGCACATTTTCCTTATCAATGTGGTTATTGATTTTTTGTATATTAAATAGCCTCCTAGGACTCAAGTCCTCCTGAGGAAGCCATTATATGACGAAACATGTTGAGGCACCTAGAGAACAACATCATGTGTTCATCTTCTTGTGATCAAACAGGCCACTGCAACATCTTACTGTATTGTATCTGGACCATGTATTATTTTGTTGTATGAATTCTGTGTCTACTTTAAAACACAATTTATGGTTTTAATCTATTGCTACAATAAATACATTTTTTAATTTTTACTAAGTTCATTTGTGGGAGCAATAATGTTTCTTAAATCCCCCCTTTTCCAGGCTTTGCATACCTGGTTTGGGTTCAATGATCATATGATCTTGGTATTATATCAGCTTACTGGGGTGTGAAACACTGCTCTCACTTTATCTAATGTGCGCCGATAATTATAAAACTAGTAGGCATTACATAGTTACATCTTAGCAAAGTCTTTTTTGTATTTATTATTACTATTATGTGTCCAATAACTTGCACCCATATCCACATGAGGAAATACTAACTTCTTTCCTTGTAAATAACAGCAGATCCTACAGAATTTAGTATGGTGTAAGCTCCTCTCTACTCCATTTAAACAAATAAAAAGGTCTTTCTTTACCATATGAATTGCACATGTAGTCAGACCGATACTACCACAATGAATAATCAATCTAAATCCCATTAGCCTTTTCCTGACATGCAAAAATCCTGAATGTAAATATGTATTGAAGAATAGATCCAGGGTTTTTACCAAGTCACCATTTTAATGGCTCCCTTTAATGTACTTAATACACCACTGACATCTGTCCATTAAACTACTAAATACACACTAGATGCCACTGACAACAATCAATCCGTAAAGACAAATGGCGGCATTCGGATTTCAATGGCTAATGATTTTCTTTCCAAGAAGATGGACTATGCAAACGTTTTTCCGATTAATAGTAATGTATAGGGGCAATGCTCACATAAATACAGTACTGAAACATCACTGAGAGTCCAAATGGAAGAATAGAGGCTGACCAATCAATAAACATACATACGATAAACAAAGTCAGCTGTATGTTTGTTGACTAGAGCAATTGTGGTTATTTCCATCCAATTTTTTTTGTTATTCAACTGAAGTCATTTAATAGTAGACTCCTACATTACCCGTATACCTGTACACCACAATGGCTTTGTGAACTTACTTTGCTTCTTTTTAAAAAAAATGTAATCAATTTAAATCAAGACCTCCTGCTCTGTAATTACCTCCTCCCATGCTCACCTCCAGGACTTCTCCAGAGTGTCCCCCATCCTCTGGAACCCCTTACCCCAATCTGTCCCCCTATCTCCTATGCTTCCCACCTTTAAGCGATCCTCAAAAACCCATCTCTTCAGGGAAGACTATCTCATCTCAACATAACTGCCCTTTTACTTCTTCCAATAATTCAATCTACACAATTACTGTATTACCTTTTGTATCACTTGCCCCTCCCACTAGAGTGCAAGCTCTCACGAGAAGGGCCCTCCTAACCCTCCTGTATTGAAATTGTATTGTATTGTAACTGTACTGTCTCCTACATTTTGTAAAGCGCTGCGCAAATTGTTGGCGCTATATAAATCCTGTATAATAATTGGTAAGTGCTTATAATGTATGTTGTAGATTAAAAGGGACAAATAGAGGTGTATTTATAAAACATTCACAGAGAGAACTGACTTTTATGTTACATTCGCAGCACATTATGGCCACTAGATGGAGCCCAAGAACACAGGAAGTTCCTAAACTCCTCGGCTCCATCTAGCGGCCATAAAGTCAGATGTTTACAGGCTGTTCGCTCTGCAAATATTTAATAAAATACACCCCATAGTGTCTTATTTTATTTGACTTGAGTACATGCATAGTGAGATAAATAAAAGGTTTTGTTATTATGCTCCAAAATACTGTCTTACTTTTAAAAACATGGCATATCTCTGCCCCCCCCAAGTAGCAGCTGCTGGGTCATTACACATGCACCTGGGCTCCAGGCTATATGAGAGGCTGGCAAACAAAAGGTGGGCGGGATGTGGGCAGGACATTGGAGAGGAGGTGGGGAGCTGTGAGGGAGTAGTGGAAAAAAAACAGTGCACTATTTTTCTGAGCACAGTGCTTCTACATGTGTGACTACGATGGGAGATATTAGGAAGGCATAATGAAATGTGGACAAAGTCATACAGGAAATGTGTGTGAATACGGCTCTCAGTATCTATTTAAAGATATTTATGGGGACTAAAAAGACATTGAAATGTAAACCATTTCTCATCAAGCAGAAGGGAGAACGCCACTGACGTATGGCATACTGACGTGGCCAGCTGGAAACAGTTGTGTTCAAAAACATATTGTCTCCCATTTTAATTTAAAGAATATCTCTGGCAAAGCTTTAGTACTGGCAGAACCTAGAATGATTGAATCCACTGCAGACCTCATCATCTTTCTTCCCCAATATCGTGGGCTGAGACACTATTCACTCAGTTTATTGCCTTCAGAAATATGTGTATGAACTACACTTTATTGCTGCAGTGCCTGCATTTTAGTCTGGCTTTTGTTAAATATGAATAAAACAGAGTTTGATGTTTAATATATGGGTTTGTTAAAGCCCAATCTCCCCTCTTGAAACCACCCCAGCACCTTAACAAAAAAAAATCATTATTATACCTTTTTCCAGGTGTCTTTGATTTGGTGACATCCAGGTCCTCTTCTCTTTCTGGCAATGGGCAGATCCTAGATACTGCAGATAGCGGAACCAAATTACATGGTGCAACTCTCTGCAGAATTCTCCTGGGAGTTCAGAGAAGGGAGCACAATCTTGATACCCTGGGCTCATAGGAAGTGGGTTGAATGATGCCGGGCAACATTTAGCCTGCATGAATCAGAGATCAGGTGAGTCTGCGGGAGACAGCACCAGAGATCGGGTACATTTAGTAGCCAGAACTGCTTTTTTTTAGTTTACAGAGCTGGCAGGGATCCAGTGTAATTCTATTGCGCAAACTGGAATTTCAAGGTACACACTAGGGGCTGATGGGACTGTATAGTGTATTTTCAGTGAGCAAACATTTTTGTTATTATTGCAGTGTTTACCGTACAGTAACCCTTGATATGAATTTCAAATTTTTTATATTCTTCCTTTTTTTGTTATTGTGCAAGATGTGTAGATTATCCATTAGAGGCAGGGTAGATATAGCTACTTTATTAACTCTGTTCAACTGCTTTACAACTGTAAACATAAGATATCAGCTACACAGAGATTGCATTGATTTCAATTCATCTATGCTGTTCTCATTAACCAGATAACTATGCACCTGCTTGCCTGTGAAAACCATCTACTTCTATTTACTTCCTAAACCAGGAATAGGCAACCCCCGGCACTCCAACTGTGCTGTCACTACAAATCTCATCATCTGCATCTGGGAACCATTCTTGTCAGGTTCTTACAGTCTCTGTTTCAGCTTTTTTTCCATACTCATATCTACTCTGGAAGTTGATACATGCATTTGCTTGATTTCCCGGTTGCATCCAGTTTATCTCCACTTTCACACTCACATCTATGGAACTCGTATAGTTTGGTATTCGATATTTTAGACCTTACTGGTTTCAAGTAAATTATATATCAAGCGCCTCCATTTTTGTTGTATGTTTGAAGTTGGACTTCTCAGTACTGTTGTTTGTGGCTACCTGTTCATTTTTATATTATTGGATGACAGCTATTGTACAAGCAATTGATGTCTAATTTTGTACCTGAACTCTGTTCATATTTGTATTTTTATTCAATAAACTTTTCTTTTTTTTTTTAAGTTTTGCAGTGCCTGTCAGGACAAAACATTAGACATGAAAACTGTGTCAAATACTTGTTTCAGGGACTATAACAGGAAGTAACGCTGAAGAACATTTTATAAAATGTATAACACAATACTTACTTTCTGTAGATAACGAGCCCTTTGTTCTATATCTTGTTCTCTCTGTGCTTCCCATAAGAAATACTCTGTCTCTGAAACACAAAAGGTTGATATAATGAGAACTTTATAAATCAAGCTTTGTGCAACGCAGAGATCGTAATGACAGGAACAAATGAAAAACATATTTACAACGTAAAAGTGGACCGACCATTAACATTCACAGTTCACGTGAATCAATAGGGCGCATGTCAGAATTTCATTACCACACCATAATCTTTCCATGAAAAAAAAACTGCCATTCCCCGGAGCCCATTGTGAAAGTGCACAGAAGAGACAACAGATAAACAGCTGATCCAGTTCCATGGTCAAATTTGGTTTAGACAGGATTACTGAAGAAAAAAGAGTTCCGCATTTGCAATTAGAGCTGTTCCTATGGTTATCATCGCCAGGAGAAGAGTGCTGACAGGGAATGGTCACTCACTGGCAGGGCTGTCCTCAGGTGGCATCTTATTGCGCCCGGGTTTTGGGTAAGGGCAGGGCCGGATTTCCCACAAGGCCAACCAAGGCCCGGGCCTTGAGGGAGGGCAAGCAGAGCTAAATGTACAGCGTGGAAGCTGCTGCTTGTTTTGTACAAGTGATCTTGGCGATGTCGCTGAAATCACTTGTATGCAGCAGGCAGGTCTGCCATTCTCCATGAGGGGGGTTGGCAGGTAGGGGGGCGCATTAAGGAACCTGGCCTTGGGGCAGCAAAGAGAGTAAATGCGGCCCTGCAATGCAGCTGTCTGGTAACAGCACAGTACACTATAAAATTATAAAGCGATGAAATATGCAGTTGGCAGGTAGGGGGGCGCATTGAGGAACCTGGCCTTGGGGCCACAGAGAGAGAAAAATAAATCTGTCCCTGGGTAAGGGGCAGCCACTGCATCCCAGGTTGCTAGGAGCTCTTAGTAACTTGTGAAGCTCTGCCTGGTATCCTGCTGAGCTCAATGACGTCACCAGTTGCCTAGAGCTGAGTGGGACGCGCTGCCTTGCTCCAGTGTCCGCCCCTGCCCTGACCCCCCCTGCCCGGCCGACAAGTGAACCAGTGAGCATAGCCGTCCCGCTCAGCTCTAGCCAACCGGTGATGTCTGTGAGGTGGGTGGGATGCCAGAGTGTCACAGATTGCTAAGAGCTCTTAGCAACCTAGGATGCTGTGGCCGCCCCCCTGATATCCCCCTGAAAACATCCAGCCACTCCCCAATGAAATGCCGACATGCATCTGGTTGTGTCATCAAACACCTGAATCCACCGTAGTACTCAACGGTTTCACACGCTGGACTCTATGACACTATGGTGTCCTGAAGTGGGCCGGTGGATGGATCCACAGACTGCAGTGGAGGAGCATGCATCTGACATAACCAGATGTGTGTCGGATGCTAAAAAAAATCTTTGGGACAAAGTCCATGTAGTGACCGAATCAATTTAATGTTCACTTTTTTGCCTTGGCCCAGATGGATATGTAACCAGTTTCTGAGAGCCCATTGGGAATTTGGCTGTAAAAAATAAACGCATATGCAAAAAATCCTGGAACAGTGTCACGTGGAATGGAAGCTTTGGCTACACTATCAGAAAATAAAATATCGAACTGTGCTTACAGTTACATTAAAACAAAGCATACTTAGTCACTGTATTTGTTTCCCACTTACTGAGATCCTCCAGTTGTTGCTGTGTGTAATTCCTTCCTAGCAATAAGAAAGAGAAATATTGTCAAATTAATTAATGATGCTTCAAAAGACAAATACCGAAACATAATCCAGGAAAACACCATCAGCATGGCACCAGCAAAGAGTAACTCTTAAACTGAACCTAGGAGAACGAAAACATAAGCTGCCAATGCAGACTGTTTTTTCTAATGGTGAAATATTTGAGGCTGTATTTCTAGTCCTGGCTTTATTACCTAATAAATCACCGACAGGGAATAACCATGCGGATAATGAAGTATCAAGTCAGAACTCTTGTCATACTTGTTCCAGGTGACCTTCTAGGTGCGGGGGTTCTTAACTGGAGGTCTTTATACCCCTTATGGGTATTGGAACCAAATGATGGGGGTATAAGTATGGATATCTGAATAACAATAATAGGTCCAACGAAGAGCAACAAAGCTAATTAAGGGGATGGAGGGTCAAAGTTATGAGACAAGGTTGCTAAATTTAAACTTGTTCACGCTGGAAGCCTAATAAGCTTTTTTGCTCTTCGTTGGACCTTCTCCAGCTCCAGGACATCTTTTCTGTGGACCGGTAATCAAAACTGAACCGCGTACTCAAGATGAGGCCGAACCAGTGATCTTTAAAGTAGCAAAATTATCGCTTTATCTCTACAATACATTCCCTTTTTAATACAAGACAGTACTCTGCTTGCTTTGTTTGCCGCTGCCTGACATTGCAAGCTATTATTCAGTCTGCGGTCATTACTTCAGTATTTACATAAGTACTTGCTATACTTATGGTGCTGCAACAGGAGAGCTGCTGCTCTCATACATTGAAGCCCCACTCTCTGTCTGGTCCCTCTCTCCCCTTAACCATTCGGCTTTTAATTCTGCAAATCATTTACATAATACAAAGTGTTCTTTATTATTAAGAGGGGACTTGATTTTGTTGTACAAAATGTTTAGTGGTGATAGCAACATCGGCAATAAACTTTTTACTTTAAACTGTACACAAAGACTAGAGGCCATCACCTAAAATTGGTAGATGAAAGATTTACCCACAAAGGGCGCAGGGGATTCTTTTCATTTAGAGCGGTTACATTTTTGAACACTCTGCCACAAGCAGTGGTATCAGCAGAGAGTATTGAATCATTCAAAAATCAATTAGATACCTTCCTCAGAGACCTTACAGGGGTACGGGTACACTTAAATACTAGACCACACAGGGACTCTTATACACACATACGCACAACAAACAAACACACACACAGGTTGAACTTGATGGGCCTGTGTCTTTTTTCAACCTCAAATACTATATAACTATGTAATGACAAACATAGGTAAAGTAAAATACACCACTTGTGACTTAAATTATATTCACACAGGAGATTTTAAAATAAACATTTTTTCCTGGAGTTCTGCATTAAGAAATAATTCATATATGGCAGCTCCCATATTTCTCTCCCTAAAGGTTCCCTTTAACCTCACTGCAACACTATTGTTAATAACATTTTTGCAGGTAGCCCATTATCTTCACACAATACTGTTCATCAAGGAAATTTCATTTTTCATCTGAAATAATGTAATGCGTGGGATCAACAAGTAAAGGCAAATGTGTATTGATTTCTTTAATTATGTATTCCTGACAGGGCTGTTTCAGCTTTAGTGTCATCTTAGTGAACCCGAGGCCTTTTTAATGTAGCGATTAGAGAATTAATGGTCACGTAAGGTCTTCAGAAGCCCAGAATGCTTTTCCTATTGTGTGAAGCCGCATTCTAGAGGGGCAGGTTTTTTTGCACGTACTGCAGCTCACTGTGACGGTCCTAAATTGTAAGATAAATCAATGCTATTTAATTTAAAAGTCCATTGTGCCTGCATTTTCATTTGTAGGCTTCTAGTTTCCCTTTGGAGAAAATCAATGTCTTTAGGAAAGCTGTGTGTTAACTCTAATTATGGAAATCTGCATCCTGCTAAGCCCATACAGCAGTAGATTTATTTGGGTGAATAAAAGGTTAATAAATGCAATCATGGTGTAATAAAATTCAAGAAGGAAGCCTTATCTTGTTTCAACAGAAAATACAATTAGGCCTCATTCCCACAGCTTAGTGTCGGCCCGTACAGATCGTATCAGGCTGTTCCATCCTGTCTGCGTCCGAGTACGGACACCCACACCCGCATGGATGTGCAGCCCGGATGAGCGTACAGCAGCGTACGGCTGCGTCCTCCCGTAGGGAAGAACAGGCTGTTGCGTACAATCACAAGCAGCACCTGTCCTTCCAGGGAACGGCCCGATACGGCCGCACACGCCGCACGGATCTGCACGGGCGGAATCTAAGCTGTGTGAATGAGGCCTTAGAGGCATATTTATAAAGCAGTAAATCTGACATTCACCAAACATTCACTGCAGGTGAGTCTTTTAGGTGCCTGTTTTAAATGACAATAACTCAGCCTTTCTCAACCATGGTGCTGCAGCACCTTTGGGTGCTTTCTGGCTTTCTCAGGGGTGGCTATAAATTGTTGCACATTGTCATGCCTTTCCATGGTACAGGCTGGCTGCCAGCACCATGGAAATGAATGACAATAATCCTAGGTGGGTAGGATAGATATAAAAAAGGACGGAGGTTTGCCTTCATCCAGGCCTGCTCCATCTCTTGCCCTCTGCCAGAGCTGCGGTTGATGTGAAGGGGGGACTGATGACTCTGATGTGAAAGGGGAACTAAGGACTGTGAAGGGAGCACCTGATGTGAATGGGGAACTTCATTGTGAAGGGGGGGGGCTCTGGTATGAAAAGGGGCTCTGATCTAAAAGGGG